ACATTTTTCCAATCAATGAAATACAAAAGTTTAAGGAATCACTGCCTAGAAGGTATAATACTGAATTTAAACTTTGCTTGATCACTTCTCAAATAATGTGTTTAATTTATTAGTGTGCACTTTGAAATGTGAGTATTCAGAAAAAGTCATGCAGCTACCATGTAGCAGTTCGAATTCGAAGCACAAGGTCATCTGAACTCTCTTATGAGTATATCTCTAATTCAGTGCAACAACAGGTCCCAAATAGTACTAGATCTCTCAAAACAAACTAAAGTTGCTGATTTATCAATACAGATGTACATTCAGATCCTCAGATCAATGGAATCTTTGAAGTGAGGTCCAGGAATCCCTTGGTAATTACCAGGTTCACATGACTAAAAAGTACATGCAAGATGAAGGCTAGAAAACAGAAAGTTAGAGGGGAAACTAGCTAAACAGTCATAATGCTGGATGTGTATGTGGTTTGTCTGCTAGAGGCATGAGAGTTGAAATGGGGCATATGCAGACCATGGCAGCTGGTGAAACAATTAGAAAAGTAGTTTGTAAGACAGTAAAGGAACCATGATAATGTAAGTTGCCAATACAAAGAGTGTCAAGAATATGGCATTCGTAAACACATCAAAAGCTACAAAATGTTTGAAGATAAGGACTGAAAGATGAACAAAGGGGAAAGAGGTTTGTTTTATACAAGGTGTCTCCAGAAGTGCCTCAGTCTTATCTAGGAATCATTACCAGGACCACATGCCTGAAAAGTAATGTTATTATACTCAAGATCAAGGCTCAGAAACATGTAAAATTAGAGTAGAAACAACAAAATAGTGCCTGGTCTTTCCCCAAATTATTTCAGTGCTTACAGTTAATGGACTTTTCACAACACACAGTATTAAGAGAATGTGGCAAACACAGATCTTTGTACTACTCCAGAAACACCCACTGGGTCGACCAGAGGGGAGGGAAAGTTACTACACTGTTCTTTTGCTAAAGGGAACTGAAATAGAATTGCTCATACATAAAAAAGATAAAATTTTAAAATTTGTGAGATGAATTTCAATTGGAGGGTTATCACAAAACTGTGGTTGAAAAAATGTCAACTGAGAAGGAATTACTGAATTGTTCATTTACTTCTCTTCTATAATGAAGAAACTAGCTTTCAGGGTGGGACAAAGACAAGAAAGTTGTAAAAACAACAAATAAATGTGGGATATTTTTTTAAACATTTTCTTCTATGAAACTTTTCCAGAAAGTCGCATAGGAATAGAAGGTTCAGGGGCCTTTACATAGATGAGAAAAAAAATTCCAAATTACAATCTGTGGCATCTTACCACACTGATGGACAGTGACTGCAATGGGGCATGGGGGGGGGGACTTGATAACATGGGTAAATGTAGTAACCACATTGTTTTTTCATGTGAAACCTTCATAAGAGTGTATATCAATAATACCTTAATAAAAAATTTTTTTAAAATTCCAAATCACACATATGAAACCAACAATAATACTTAAAACCTAGAAAATACAAAACAGAACCAAAGGAAAAATGGCAGGAAATCTGGTTATCTCTATATTGCCAAACCTACAGAAAAGGGGAAATCTAAATACAAAACTAAACAGATTTTTGTTTATTAATTTAAAGACAGAAGGCAGTTAAAGATAAAGAAATAAGGTTCACTAAGTTACAGGTGGATTTTAATTTGGACATAAATAGTTGTATAAACAGAGGACCCTGATCCAAAGCATTCTTAATATTTCTTTGCTATAGAATATCATCCCATAGCTTTCCTTCTGAGAGAGGAAAAACAAAGTTTTCCTCTGGAAATAGCCAACGTCTTTTTTTTTTTAAACAGAATTCCTCAGTTGAATGTCTTGAATTTCCTGCCTCAGTTACATAGAAAAATGGTTAGATTCCCTAAATAAACTTCAAAGCTTCCATATAATCTTGGTGAGTGATTTATACCCAAGTGCTCTCTGGAAGAGGCATGCAGAACTCACATGAGAATGGGCTTGTGGAGCAGACACAGGCCAGCAAGTCTGGACATGAGCATGCTGAGTAGGGTAAAACAAAACAAGGGTGGTTTAATTTCACATTAAACATTTTATAAAACCCGACATCTAATTTGTTAACTTTAATTGGCATGAATAGGTTTGCCTTTACATATACTACAAGAAAGTGTGGGCTTCTATAAAATGTATGTTCAGTAGACTGTATGATCTTGACTTCTTTTCTGACTGTGGCTCAGGCTACAGATTTGGCACTTTTTGCTTGACCTGAAAGGAAGCAGATTTTAAAATTATATTTAAATAGCTTGGAATATAAAATGAAAATGAAGGCAGTTTTTAAAACAATGGGCATGAACTAAATCAGTATGTCCCAGACTGAGCCAGTCATTAACTAAGCCTTGGGGTTGGTGTGTCAATTCAAGTATTCTTCCTCCATCTTTCTTTTACTATTTGAAGTGGTGAGGTCACATTTCCCATAAAATCAATAGTATTATTTCTAATTCTACTATCAAATAGAGTAACTTTGAATAAACCGCTTACCCTCTCATTTTCACCTCCTCCATTGTAAAATGAAGGGATCATTTCAGAGGTTCTATCAAGATCTAACACTTTTATAATATGAAGATGCAAGATCCTGGGGTGCTTTTAGGGAATGCAGGGGTAGAAAGGCAGTTCTTCCTTAGAGGTGAGAAGGGAAGATGGGAGCTCTACTAGACTAACAGTAGCGGGGAGAAAGTAGAAATTAAACTGTACAGCCAACAATACAGGCCTGAATCAACTATCACCACCCTGGACAGTATATGCTCGCCTCACTCCCTCTAGCCTCTTCTTCCTCCAATCTACTTTACAAGAAAATCCAGATTACTTTCCCCTACTTAATCCCCCTTCTTTGTCTGCTACCCCAAAACCTAAATGGCAACCCACTGCCCTGAAAATAAAACCCAAACTTCTAAGCTTACAAGTCAGTGCTTTTAATGAAGTGATTACAAGTTAACTTTTGAACCTTATTTTTTAATGTTCCTTAACACAGACGCAACTCTAATCAGCCAGATGGACACTGACCACTTCCCTACTGCCACATTTGAATCTCTCATCATTAACAGTGTGCTTCATTCTGGAATTCTCTTCATATTCCACCCATCCTCTCTTTATGGTGCTGCCTCTGAATCTACATAGCACTCAGTTCATCCTTTCAAGTATGTGTGTTTACTCAGACTGGGTGGCGGGCTCCTTAAAGACAAGGACAGTGTAGAGCATCTATCTCCCCTTCAGGGAACCTGAAAGGATGCTATGCACATGCTCAATAGATGTTACGTACAGATGGCAAGGGATATTCTGCCACACTATCTAGACTCAATCGTCATTCTTAGATATGACACCAAAAGCACAAGCAACCAAAGGAAAAACAGATGCACTGGACTTCATCAAACTGTCATTTGTGTTTCAAAAGACACAATTAAGAAAATGAAAGATAATGCACAGAATAGGAGAAAATATTTGCAAATCATATATCTGATAAAGGGCTTGCATCCAAAATACATAAAGAACTCTTACAACTCAACAATAAAAAGACAACCCAACTGAAAAATAGGTAAAGGATTCCCAGAGTCAGGTTGCTTGGGAATGCAGCCCAAAGCGGATGGTAAACTCCATCTAAGGCTAAATAGTGGCACAAGACCGATAGTCAACAAGTACCGTAAGGGAAAGTTGAAAAGAACTTTGAAGAGAGAATAAAAATAAAAATTAAATTAAAAAAAAGAAAAATAGGTAAAGGACTCAAATAGACATTTCTCCAAAGAAAATATACAAATGGCTAGTAAGCGCATGAAAAGATGCCTAACATAATTAGTAATTAAAGAAATGCAAATCAGAACTGCATTAAGATACCACTTCACAGCCACTAGGAGGGCTAAAAAAAATTTTTAAATAACATGGTGAAGAAAATGGTATCTTCATATATACTATTATGGGAATTGAAAATTACAATTTGGCAATTTGTCAAAAGGTTAGACATAGAGGTACCATGTGATCCAGCAATTCTACTCCTAAGTATATACCCAAGAGAAATGAAAACATGTGGGTACACAAAATTTGTACACAAAACTTCATAGCAGCATTATTTGTTAATAGTCAAAAAATGGAAAACCAATGAGTGGATAAATGTGAATACATCCAGTGGAATATTATCCACCATAAAAAGGAATACTGATACATGTTGTAACATGGATGAACCTTTAAAACATTATGCTAAGTAAAAGAAGCCAGACCCAGAAGGCCACAGATTGTATGAGTCTTTATGAAACATCCACAACAGGCAAATCCATAGAAATAGAAAGCAGAACAGTATCACCCGGTGCTTGTGGGAGGGAGAAATAAGAAGTGATGACTCAGGGGTATGGTGTTTCTTTTGGGGGTGGTAAAATGTTCTAAAATTAGGCAGTGGTAATGACTGTACAACTCTGTGAATATGTTGAAAACCAATTAACTGTGTATTTTTAAATAGAGAGTTTTATGGTAAGAGAATTATATCTTAATAAAGCTGATATTTTTAAAAATCTTAGGTACACTTGCCACCAAGATTCTAATAATGCACCTCCTGAATCTTCCCCATTCATAGGACAGCAAGGTTTTTCAGAATATAGACTTATAATACAGAAAATGCTTCTTCAAATCCTGCCACTATCCCCTAGGAGGGTATGCCTTCCTAACTGAAAATCACTGGTCAAAATTAAAGGCATCGTAAATTACACAAAATTAAATGATTAATGATGGCAGTAATATTAAGATTAGTATTAGATATTCTCTGTAGAAATAGTTCACTTAGTTTTTTAGTTATTAATAATGAAACTATTAATGGAAATGGAAAGTTATATCATACTTTACTGCTTGTAACATAGTATGACTATTTCATATCAATTGTTAAAATCAGAGTATCTCAGAAATAACATCGAATGTAATTTCCATCTTTTCTGACATTCAAACAGTTTTTATCCCCAACTTACGAGGTGTAGCCATTTTTGTCAAGATAGGAGTTACAATATCTTCTAATTGTTGTTTCTGCTGAGAAAGCTCATTAACGGAAGCTTCCACATGGGTTTCCAACCACTCGTTTTTTATACGGCATGCATTGAGAATGATATTCTAGGGACAGAAAATGAGAATTTACTTTCCATTTATTTACTGAAAAATAAAACTTTATATTGTCTTAAACCAGCACAGTGCAAAGAACTTTCTGTGATGATGGAAATGTTCTATCTGCATTGTCCAATACAGTCAACATTAGATATATACTGCCACTGCCTACCAGAAAAGTAGCTAGTGTGACTGAGGAACAGAATTTTAAACTGTAGTTAATTTCAAATAATTTTAACTTAAATAGCCACATGTGCTAGTTGCTACTATATCAGACAGTGCAACCTTAACAATATTAGAACATGAGTATAAAAGTTCATAATCTACAGTCATGAAGCCTTGGGCCAATCTACACCCTCTTCCTAATTATTTTCACTGAGCCCTGTGATAAACAGAAGTATTTGCAAAGACTAGTAAAGAGTAGCTGTGTGGTAGGAACTGTGTGCAGCTCAACAGATGATGACATTCTATTCCCTCCCAGATGGTTCAAAGGAGGGGGTAAGAAATGCAAGCAGAGCTCCATCTCACTGAACACCTCTCAATTTGCACTGCAAAACTGTCTCTTTGTACAGGCATGACAAACCACTGGTATCTGATTAAAGATTTTTATTGTTCTATGGTTTATAATAAATTAGAGAAATGAATAAATATATTGTATGTCCTGTCCATACTATTAAACAAAAAAGTAGTATGTGAGAATTATGAAGAATGAATTTAGAGGTCCATAACACATTATTAACAGAAAAAAAGCATATTAAAGAATAATATTATAATATAATCCCATTTTTATAAAAACAAAATCTCTTTTCTAAAACCATATGTGTGCATACATATATTATACATGAAAAAGCATGGTAAAATTAACACAAAGTTGTTGATAGAATCACAGGGTAGTAAGACTAGAAAGGAAAAAACTATTAATAAAGTTTGCTTTACATGTTCCAATTTTATTCTAAATAACCAAATATTTTAAAAATGAAATTAAAAATGCTTTTGTAATAACTAGTTTGACAAAGCACTGTTTGTGCCAGGGAATTTTTGTTTTGAAGATTAATAGCTGCAATAGCTATTCTCATAGAATTTGCCTGTACTTTATTTCCTATGAGATTTTATAAAGTATTTTACAAAATACAAGGGAAATACATAATTTGTCATGTTTCCAGACTTGGTGATATCTCACACTTTTAGCAATAGCTAATTCTTTTTCATCAGAATTATGTCACAGGAAATTCACAGAACATCTTGCACAGAAATGTAGGAAATAATTTGATGTCAAAACACATTTTGATACCTTGAACATCTTTTTCTTTAGTGTACATCCAAAGCAATAAACTAATCCATGTGCAGTACTTACTATATAATAAATATGGCAAGCTGGCTTTACAATGAGCTATTTTATATCTGTGTGTCTTTTTTTTTACCATTATGTAAAATTTGATACATTAAAAATACATATGTGTATACATATATATACTAAAATATCCCACGTATATTTAAGTTTTGAAGCAAAATAAGGAGTATCAGTGAACCTCATCAATCAACAGAACCACTAGCGCTTTTAATGCTGTGCCCTTCTTGATTCATCCCCTGCCTGCCCCCAAGAGATAATAACAAACTGTGCTTATACCTTTGCTTTTTCTTTTTTAATAGATTTACCTGATGTGTAGGTACCTCTAAACCACATAGTTTGATTTTACTTGGTTTCGAGCTTTATAAAAATCTATGTAGTCTTTGGTGATTTTTTTTTCACTCAATACTACATTTCTATTATTTATTCATGTTGTTGGGTGTGACAGCACATGTCTATGTCACTCTTACCATTACATCATTTAATTTTTACTAGTCTATCTCCTTTCAGTAGTTTATTAAGATAGGAAGGAAGGGAGGGAGGCAGGAGAGAGCAGTAAGGACCAACACTTACCTCTAGAGCATTAGTGGGGAAATTAAAGACATAAGGCAAAAATCTCAAAAGACTTCAGCACAAACAATAATCACAGTGCAGTACCTTGTCCTCCTTAAAGAGCTTCCCTGGTGTCCTTTCTGTGTCTGTAACAGCTGCAGAAGCCTTTGCAATATATTTTTTCAGAGCCAGCCTTGCCTCTGAAAAAGTAGGACAGTAAAATGCACAATAAGACAAAGACCAACAAATACACTCAGTTGTTTGTAATGCATTATTGTATACCCAGAAATTTATAAAGACTGTGTATAAGGAGGTTTGTTGTGGTTATTTTCATTGAATTTAAAAAAATATAACACTCAACTAGCACAGCACTGTGGGGCACTCAAATTGTGCTGAATTTTGACATGCCAAAATTTGATGAACAAATAAATATGAAATGTGACACCTGATCCCAAGATACCATATTCTGTTAAAATATCTACCCTGGAGACAGAAACAAAAAAACATTTCCAATGTCCCTTCCTTTACCTTTCTTGATCCTTCAAAATAAATACAAATGTAGATTTCTTCTTAAAAAAAAAAACAACACAGACTGGGTATCTTGTAAACAAAAGAAATTTATTTTTCACAATGAAAATAATTCCATTCATTATAGCACCCATAGTAATGTCATCACAAAATTTGCAAGCCTTGTTTAAATAAAATCATAACATTTTGAGAAAAATAAGAGACTTAATAAATGGCAAGGCTTACTATATTCCTAGATATAACTGAATTTTTGTATAAGATATAAATTGTAGGTTAGCCCCAAATACACTTAAAGGTTGATGTATTCATTTCCTGTGTCTGCTATAACAAATCACTACTAATTTGGAGGATTTAAAACATCACAAATTTATCTCCTTACAGTTGTAGAAGCCAGAAGCCTGAAATCAGTTTGCGCCAAAGTCAAGGTGCTGGCAGGGCTGAGTCCTTCTGAGGGCTCTGAGGGAAAAAGCTATCCCTCCCCTTCTCCAGCTTCTAGCTATTGTTTGACTATATTCCTCAGCTGTGGCCCCTCCCAGCACCTTTAAAGTGACCACCCCAGTTTCTGCGTCCTGCATCACATCCCCCTCTCTTCACGTCAAACACGCCTCTTATTCCCCTCTTATAAGGACACCTGCAATTATATTTAAAGCACACCTGGGTAATCCAGGATAATCTCCTAATCTCAAAATCCAAAAATTTAAGCATACCTGCAGAGTGCTTTTGCCCTATAACATTTACAGGCTTCAGTGATTAAGACCTGGATATCTCTGGAGGCCACTGTTCAACCTACCTCACAAAATTCCAAACAGGAACTTTTAAGATATTTAATGAATTCACTCAAAAGTTCAATTGTACTATCTGTAGTACCTAGCAATCTCTCTAAGTCTCATGTGCCTTTCTGTAAAGTGGACTTAATAAAAGGACCTTGCACAAATTCAGACTCACATTTGGAATAGTATTAATGTATAGGGACCATCTAACTCGTCTTGCTTCCAGCCCTCCACAGCTTCAAACTCATCATTCACGTTGCAAGCAGAATTAATTTCCTAAACTGGAATCTAAGGTTTAGGTTTTGGCTCCACTAGTTGAGTGACCTGGACTCAGTGGTGGTTCCAGAATCTCAATACAGGATATAGTTTAGTAGAGGAATTGGCTAGAAGAGGGGACTCAGGAACTTGCCATGAAACTGTGTTTGTGTAATACACATGCTGGTTTTACTGACGGCACATATTTATTTGGGTGGCTTGCTTATTGCAAGCATCCTCCTAATGCCAATGTACCTGTGTTGGTGCATTCAGGCTGCTATAGTAAAATACCACAGACTGGGTATCTTGTAAACAAAAGAAATTTATTTTTCATAGTTCTGGAGGCTGGGAAGTCTAAGATCAAGGTGCCAGCATGGTTACAGCCTAGTGAAAGCCCTCTTCCTTCATAGCCAGCACCTTCTCATTGTATCCTCATATGGTGGAAGGGGCTAGGGAGCTCTGTGGAGACTCTTTTGTAAGAGCATTAACCCTGTTCATGAGGGCCCCACCCTCCTGTCTAATCAACTCCCAAAGGCCCCACCTCCTAACACCATCACATTGGGCATTAGGCTTCTCACATATGAATTTAGAGGGGATATAAACATGCAGCCTTCCCTCTCTAACCTGTTTCTCCATCTATAAAATGGAAGTAGTACAGTACAGACCTCATAGGGTTACTGTGAGGACTAAACACAAATGTAGTATAATGGATGCAAGTATCCTGGCTCAGTGTCTAGCACACAGTAAGGCACTCAACAAGTTTATTATTATGCCACTCCTCTCCTCAAAGCTCTATGAATGACTTCCTCTTGGCTACTGAATAAAATCCAGGGTCCTCTGAGAACTATCTAGCCACAGACTATCTCTCCAGCTTTCTCTCTTTCAACATTCATCCACAGGGAGTCTCTCATTAATGATAAGAGCCTCACTGTTTATAGAGCAACACCCCCAACGTCAGCATACTCACTCCTTCAGTCCCTCGGGTCTCTGCCCACACATCATCTCATCAGAGCAGCCTCTCTGACTGCCCTCTACAAGAGTTCCCATGCTCACTAATCCACTCACTGGCAACTTCATAACCCTCTGAACACTCTACTTTTCTCCATCCCACTCCATAGATAAATAGACTTATCTAGAAATTATTTTCTGTGTCTCCCTACTAGAAAGTAAATTCCATGAATGTAAAGATTCTGTTTTGTGCCCAGTTGTATGTGTATACTCAGCCCCTAGAACACTATTTAGCATATAGCAAGTACTCATAAATATCTGTTGAATGAATATTTACAGAGAAGTTCTTTATTGTTTCTTCAACCTATGATGCCCTCTCCACATTACCACCTATCAAAATTCTACTCATCCTTCAAAGCTTACTCAATATGCTTCTGTGAAACTCCTAATTCCCCCAGTAGAACTCTTTGCTCTATCAAATGTTACATGATTATAATTTGATTTAGCTCTCATTTTAGTCTATCTTGTAATTTGTATTATCTTGTTTTTTGCTTCTACTTCTAGACTGCAAGCTCCTGAAGGACAGGGTCTGTGTCTCACCTTTTTATCATATACCACGCCACCTCACCATCTCATTTTTCTCCAATTCCACTGCCAAATTCTCCACCTCTCACCCATTACCTGATAGTACCACACCATCACCAAAGGGACACAGGTTAATATTAGCTTAGTTGTTTGAAGGGAAGGATGTTCCAAAGTGAAAAAATAGAAGCAGATTCTAGGTTGTGTGAAATGGTATAGTTACAACTATTTTTTAAGTAGATGTAAAACTGCCATACTTCAGAAGAGTTGGAGGGGATATAGTTAAATTGTTTCTATGAAATTGTAGCAATATGATTACAGTTTGAATATATTAGCCAGCAAAATATTAGTAAAGTCTTCATGTTTCATAAAACTGAAGCTCAAACCATTCTAGCTAAAAGCAAGAGAAAACCTCTTCTCTTAGCTGTGATACCTTTTAGTTCCAGTATGGTTCTTTATGACATCACTGAGTTCATCCCTGAGTCACTGACTGATGTTACAATGATCCTCAGGGTATAAATTTCCTGACTGGGAAGATGTCCCTTGTGTATTAACTAATACTCAGAGCATTTCTGCTGTCTCTTTGTAACCTCAGTGTTTTGGCTTTAGATTTCTTATTTCTAATTGAGAAGATGTCCATTCAAGGACTATCCCTGATTTTTCCACTGTTGTTTTTCTGTTTCTTTGGGGAGAGCCTCTGCATTTCTGACGGGATTATATGGAGAAGGATTGGATGGGAGATTCTTCCAGAAGAAATGTCCTCTCTGAAATTTGAGCTTCCTCAATTATACTGTTTACCTTACACTCTGGGCAAACTATGCTACGATTTTGCCGATATGGATACATTTCAGACTTTTTTAAAACTTTGTTTTGTTTTAATACAAGCTCTCATTTTCATCCTGTCTGTCTTATCTGCACATTACCTGTGGATGAAATGGAAGAAGTACAAGGAAAAGGTAAATTAGTGATGCAAGTAGTAATAGTTACAGAATGTCAGTGAGTTTAAAACATACGATTATTAGCTTCTTTGAGGAAAAGTGCCATGTGTTATTCCTCTTTGTAACCTCTGCCAACCCAGCTATTCAACCCCAGCATCTAGCAAAGTGTCTTGCACACACTAGATGCTCACAAATGTGCATGGAATTAGAAGGATCCTAAAATAACCTAGTCCAACCCCTCTATTTCAACTTATAAAACATATCAATAGGAGTAGCCAAGATGGGGGCATGAGGAGGGCAGTGGAAATCACTTCCCAAAACCATATATATTTTTGAAAATACAACTATTCCTAAAAGAGAGACCAGAAGATACAGCACAACAGCCAGGCTACATCTACATCTGCGAGAACTCAGTGCCTCACGAAGGGGGTAAGATACAAGCTGCAGCCCGGCGGGACCCGGGGCATGCCCCCCACCCCAGCTCCCAGAGGGAGGAGAGGAGTCAGAGTGGGGAGGGAGAGGGAGCCCAGGACTGCTAAACACCCAGCCCTAGCCATAGGCACCAGAGCGCAGACCACAGTGCGTGGTGTGCTGGATATTAGGGAAACGGAACAGTTAAACCTGCGATCGGGTCCCCGTAGCCGGTGCCCCTGGGACAAAAGAAACACGAGTGCTTTTTGAAAATCTTACAGGGACAGGGGCCTCACAGCTGGACAGTAGCATCCCGGGACACTTAGCCCAGCAGCTGGGAATCCCCGGGAACTCCAGGTGCCCTAATCCCCTGGGAGGCAGTGCAGCTCTGAGGCCGATCACGGAGATAAACAGCCTCCCGTCCATTTCCCCTCTGCACGGCCCTGCTATAGTATGGGAGCAGCCTGAGAGCAGCTGTGCCCACAGCAGCCACACAGAGCCTCCTCCGCAGCCACCCGGGCCAGACTCACAAGCCCCATCGACATACAGATAACCAGCACAAGCTGTTAGGGGTCACTATTCTCACAGGAGAGAAAGGCAACCAGCAAGTGGGAAGGACTTTGTTCTCCCAGCTGACACACGTGCCAACTGCCCATGACTACCTCTACCTCCATGAAAAGGCAGAATAATTTGATCCACACAAGAATAACCCAGACAACCCCTGAGAAGGAGCCTGGGGAGATAGATTTAACCAATCTTCCTGAAAAATAATTCAAAATAAAGGTCATAACAATGTTGATGGAGCTGCAGAGAAATATGCAAGAGCTAATGGGTAAAGTTGGGAGGGAGAATACAGAAATAAAACAATCTCTGGAAGGAGTTAAGAGCACACCGAATGACATCCAAGAGGCCATTAATGGAACAGAAATCAGAGAACAGGAATACAGAGAAGCTGAGGCAGAGAGAGATAAAAGGAACTCCAAGAAAAAAAGAATATTAAGAGAACTGTATGACCAAACCAAACGGAACAATATCCACATTATGGGGGTACCAGAAGAAGAAGAGAAAGAGAAAGGGATAGAAAGTGTATTTGAAGAAATAATTGCTGAAAATTTCCCCAAATGGGGGAGGAAATAGTTGATGAGACCACAGAAGCCCAAAGAACTCCCAACAGAAGGGACCCAAGGAGGACAACACCAAGACACATAATAATTAAAATGGCAAAGATCAAGGACAAGGACAGAGTATTAAAGGCAGCCAGAGAGAGAAAAAAGGTCACCTACAAAGGAAAACCCATCAGGCTATCATCAGACTTATCAACAGAAACCTTACAGGCCAGAAGAGAATGGCATGATATACTGAATGCAGTGAAACAGAAGGGCCTTGAACCAAGAATACTGTATCCAGCACGATTATCATTTAAATGTGAAGGAGGGATTAAACAATTGCCAGACAAGCAAAAGTTGAGGGAATTTGCCTCCCACAAACCACCTCTACAGGGTATTTTAGAGGGACTGCTCTAGATGGGAGCACTCCTAAGACTAAATAGATGTTACCAGAGAAAATAAAACCACAGCAAAGAAAGCAGACCAACCAAATACTAACTAAAGG